GGCTCCTCTGGGCACCTCCCCCGGGGCCGGTTTTGTGAGGATGTCTCAAGCGAGGGCGCCGGTTTGGGATTCGTCACCGGATCCAGCGGATCCGTCCGGAAACGGTACCGGAGGCCGCTCTGGACTCGTGCTCTTCGCGCCGGGGGTGAGGATGACGTGAGTTCCACAGAAACTCCCTCAAATAAATGTAAGGGCACAAGCATGGAGGAGGAGCAGGCCTTATGGGGTGGGCCTCCTGGGGGCATCTTGGGAAGAGTGGAGGAGGAGGAGGAGGAGGAGGAGGAGGAGGAGGAGGAGGAGAGGAGGAGGAGGAGGAGGAGAGGAAGGAGAAGGAGGACGAGGAGGATGAGGATACTGGGTGCTCGTGGGGCCTCCCGGGGGGCCTCCTAGGGGCTTCTTGGGGGGCCTCTCGGGGGCATCCTGAGGCTTCTTGGCGGCCTCTGGAGACCTTGGAGGCCTCTCGGGCCGTATAGGGACGCTCTGACCCATCTGCCTCTTCCGGATGCCGTCACGGGGTCCTGTCCGGAGTCGTTGTGGCAATCTTTTGGGGAACATTTGGGGGAGGAAAGGGAAGAGGAGGAAGAGAGGGAGGAAATGGAGAGTGAGGAGGAGGAGGAGGAGGAGGAGGAGGAGGAGGAGGAGGAGGAGGCCTCACTGGCCCCCCCTTGGGTCCTCCTGGTGGGGCTCCTGGGGGTCTCTTGGGGGCCTCTCGGGGGCCTCCTGGGGCTTCTTGGCGGCCTGGAGGCCTCTCGGACCGTCTACGGGCGTTCTGAACCCCATCTGACTCCTTCGGAGACCGTTACGAGGTCCTCTGTGGAGCCCTTGTTGCAACCCTTCGAGGAACACTTGAGGGAGGAAGGGGGAGAGGAGGAGGAGAGGGATGAAATGGAGAGAAGGAGGAGGAGGAGGAGGAGGAGGAGGCCTCACTGCCCCCCCCTGAGGCTTCCTGGTGGGGCTCCTGGGGGCCTCTTGGGTGGCTCTCGGGGGCCTCCTGGGGTCTAGGCGGCTTCTGGAAGGCATCTTGGAGGCCTCTCGGGCCGTCATGGGGTCCTGACTGCCGCCTTTGTGGAGCACCTGGGGGAGGAAGAGGGAGAGGAGGAGGAGGAGGAGGAGGAGGAGGAGGAGGAGGATGAGAAGGAGGGCGGGGAGGAGGAGCAGGCCTCAGTGGGCCCTCTTGGGGCCTCCTGGGGGGCCTCCTGGAGGCCTCTTGGGGGCCTCTCGTGGGCCTCTTGGGGCCTCTGGAGGCCTCGTGGTGGCCTTTCGGGCCGTCTCAGTGCGCTATTACTCCATCTGACTGTTTCGGAGGCCGTCATGGGGGCCTGTCTGTGCCGTCATGGAATTATTCGGGGGCGCTTTAGAACCGCCTTGGAGGTCTCTTGACCCCTCTTGGGAGTCGTCAGTCCCTCCCTATCGCATGACCTGTGGATGATACACCATTCAGGCTGGTGTTCGACTTGTGTTTTCAGATGCACTTCCAGAGTTCGCCATCTTGCCCAGGAGTGCCTCGTTTAAACTAAGTGCTAGCTGACCTACTCGCCTCATGTTGTAGCCCCGTGCTCTGAGTTGTTTGATGAGGAACAACACCTATGTGGTGGCATCGTCCTCTATCGTGTTTGTCAGCACCCGTGGGTGCAGCTCGCCTTTGACGAGCCCTGGGAAAGCTGGCGGGGCGGTGTGCGGAAGACGGAGGAATGAAATCGGGCCCTCGCCAGGACCCTCCACATATATATATATATATATATATATATATATATATATATATATCCCACGCGTTGACGGCACGCTGCCGGGCAGGGGGCCCACGGAGAGGAGCTGGGAGCGCCGAGCTCCTCGGTGGCCTCGCCTCGCCTCGCCCTCCGCCCCGTTCCTCGGGGCGCTCGCCGTCGCCACCCCGGCGGCCCCCATGGAGCGCGCGCGCAGGAGGGTGGAGGGTGGAGGAGGGCAGAAGCAGTGAGGCGGAGGGGAGGGGAGGGGAGGGGAGGGTGGAGGAAGGCAGATGCATGAGCTCGGGGCCGGAGGGGGGAGGAAGGACAGAGGTAGTAGGAAGGACGGGAGAAAGGAGGGAAGGAAGGAAGGAAGGAAGCAAGGAAGGAAGGAAGGAAGGATGCAAGCAAGGAAGGAAGGAAGGAAGGAAGGAAGGAAGGAAGAAGGAAGGAGGGAGGGAAGGAGGTAGGGGGGAGGAGGGAGGAGGGAGGAGGAGGAGGAGGAGGAGGAGGAGGAGGAGGCCGTCTCAGAGGGCTCGGAAGGCCTCCGGCCTCTGAGAAGCCAGCCGCCTTCTGAGAAGGCCTGCCCCCTCCCGCTTCCCTCCCAGGCGCGCCGCCGAGGTAAGATGTCTCAAGGCTCGCGGTGAGGCGCACCAAACGCAGGGACAGCGCTGTGCACGGCCGAGCGGGATCTTGCCTTGCACGGCCCGGGGAGCCCGTGAGCCCGCCATCGGAGGGGAAATCTCAGAGCACCGAATCGTCAGGGCTCGGGGTGGTGAGGCGTACCTCCTCATTCGTGCCTCGCGGGCCCACACCATAGTTGCCCAGGAGTGGAGGTATCCCGGATAATGCAGGCATCCAACCCCTCCCGAAAATCATCGGGATGGTGGTGGTCAGGGGTACTCCTGGTTCGTGCGAGCCCACGCCAGAGTTGCCCCGCAGTGGAGGTATCCCGGATAATGCAGGCGTCCAACCCCTCCCGAATCATCGGGCTGGGGGTGGTATGGAGTAACTCCTGATTCGTACGTCCGTGGCCCAAACTGGAGTTGCCCCGGAGTGGAGGTATCCCAGATCCCCGGCTCATTCGCGCGTTCGAAGATCGAATGAGAGGTCGGCCTGCCAGCAGGCGCCCAACGGAAAGATTTGATCCCCTGATGGCCCCAGGGGCCCACAGAGGTTCTGGGCATCGTGGGGCTCCCAGAGGTCGACGGAGAGAGGGGCACGATCCCTTATCGCGTGTGCCTGCTGCATCAGATCTGGAGGGACTCAAGTGTTCGCCTCGCCCCCCCTTCGGAGAAAAACATCAGAATGAACTTTCAGAGCTCCGAGCCGACGTCCCGCATCGGCGATGGGCCCCCCTGGGAAGCACCCCCCGGCGCCGCCCCTGACGAGATCCCCGCGCCAGGGAGGGCCTGGCATCGCTCGGACGTGTATTTGTCCTTCGGCGAGGGCCATCGAGGAGCATCCTTGATCACTTAGCGACACAAACCACGCACGAAACCGAACAAACACAGGGAATGGACGTCCGAGCGATGGCCAGAGGGGCTTCCGCGCAGATCCAAGACGTCCGCGCGGAGTTCTGACAGTCTATGCTCATGCGTGTTTTCAGGAGTGAAAAAACCCACAGACACAATTCATCGTCGATTCCCCAAACATATGGGAAAATATGGGAAGTGGGGGGAAGACAGAAATCCAGAAAATATAGGAAAATATGGGGAATCTGTTTATTTGTGTGTATTTGTGTGTGTGTGTGTGTGTGTGTGTGTGTGTGTGTGTGTGTGTGTGTGTGTGTGTGTGTGTGTGTGTGTGTGTGTGTGTGTCCCAGGGCCCCTTCATGTTCTCTTCCTCTGCCCCTCCCCTCGTGGGCGGCTGGGAGGCTGCCTGGCTGCAGCGGTGCCTGTGCGCTGCCTCCCCTGGTGCAACTCCGGAGGGGAAGGGGGGGGGGCCACTGGCCCAGCACCCCCAGGTGGTTCCTGCCGACCTTGCTGCCCTGGGCGATGGTCTGGCTCCTCGAGGGGCGGGGACGCCGATTCCTCGTCCCTCCCCCTGCTCCATCAGTCGACGAACAGCAAGCGGCATGCACATCATGTCTCTGAGCTCCTCGCGGGTTTCTTTGGTCAGCGCTGGGCCCAGCGCGGATCCAAGAAGTCCGCGTGGGCACTTGAGAAATTATGTGTATACCGCTTTTGGCTCCTCCAATCATCCCTTCGGCCCCTCTCCCCCCTCCCTCCTCCTCCCCCCTCCTCCGCGCTCCAGAAGCATGTCGTGTTGTATTGTCGTCGACGTGGTTGGTGTAGCGCTTGGGTGTTTTCTCCTGTGTGCCCAGGCCACCTTCGATGTGTTACTGTCGTTATGTATCTTAAGGGGGGAACGGCGAGTTGGGTGAGGCATTCGAAGTTCGGAAGCAGGTGGTCGATGCAGGTTGCGTGCACGCTGCCTGGGCTGCCTGGGGTTTGCCGCTTGGCCGCAACAGTGCAATTGGAGAGGTCGAACGTTCGTAGTAGTAAGCAGGGTCCGTTACAGAGTAGCTGGATCCTTTTTGCGTCGCCGTGGTCTGATGTCTGTCTTGCAGTGCGCGCGCAGAGCGATGGTTGGGCTGATGAGGGTTGCGGATGGCACAACTGGCCGCTGCGCACGGCGCCGCCGCTGCAGTCGGGAAGAAGAAGCTTGCGTGCATCTTCCTGGAAGAAGGCATATCGCTCTTAGGGCGCAGGTAGTGGTATACATGGTTCATTTCTAAGTATTTGAAGGTTCTTTGATATTTGGGGGCAAGATCTTTCATTCCCAATTATGATATCCTGGGCCTCTTCCTGGCCACCAGGAGCCAGGAACACTTAGAAACGAGCACAGTTCGAAATGAGCACGATTAGAAATGAACGACGTGTATCGTTCCTGGGGCGCAGGTAGTGGTACGATAGGCTTGTGCCGCGTTGACGCGGCGATGACCCAAGCAAGGGCGATCAAGGTTGAACGCCGCAAGTGGTTCGGAATCGGCCGACATCGGATGATAGGTGCTATCGGAGAGGCGCGATCGTTCAAGGTTGAACGATCAAAGGTTGACCGATCCACGCGGCGTCAGGAAGAAACGCCCACGTCGTCCGAACACGAACTTGCCGTGCTTAAGGGTTGTAGTCTTGAGCCGTTTGATAGGTGCCGTTCTGTATGTGGTTGGCACGTATGTTTGGCGATTGCACAAGAATCGGCTTGAGGTAGTCGTAAATGTTGGCTCTCGGTAGGCTTACGTCCCAACACGCACGGTGTGCGTAATGCCCGTAGCTCGTGTTAATTCTTCGTTGCGCGTCCACTGGTTCTGATCATTACCTTGTGCTCGTCATGGCATCAGGGGAAAGAGGTGGAGAAAGAAGAGGAGGACGAGGAGCACGGAGCAGCAGGGGTTGGGTTCCCGGGGGGGGCTCTAGAAAGTTCAACGATGGTTGGGGGGTTCTGGCCGGTCTCACGATGTTCTCGGGAGGAGGAGCAGCCGAAAGCGGAAGCAGGAGAAGGAGGAGGAGAAGGAAGCGAGGGAGGAGGAGGACGAGCAGAAGGATGGGAGAGGAAGGACGCGAAGGATGGGAGAGCCCTCTCCTGCCCCCCCCCGCCCCTCCCTTGCCCTGCCCACCAAGGCAGCCCCAAAACCTAAACCCTAAACCCTAGCCCCATCTTTGCCCTCGCGCCCCCGAGCGCCAGGCTCCACCTCGTCCGCACTCCGTCGTGGCGCCGCGGCCTCAGCGGCCCCCCCGGAGCGGGGCCCCCGGCCGGCCGTGGCGCGGCCTCGCCGTCGGCCCCCGCGCGGGCTCGGGCGCGGACGCGGCAAGCGGCGGGGGGAGAAGTGAGGTGGGGGGGGAGGTGGGGGAGGAGGAGGGGGAGGAGGAGGAGGAGGAGGAGGAGGAGGAGGAGGAGGAGGAGGAGGAGGGAGGAGGAGGGAGGAGGAGGAGGAGAGGGAGGGGGAGGAGGAGGAGGAGGAGGAGGGGAGGAGGAGGAGGAGGAGAGGAGGAGCAGGAGCAGGAGCAGACGCAGGAGGAGGAGCAGGAGCAGGAGCAGGAGGAGGGCAGACGCACTGGGGGAAAGAGGAGGAGGAGGAACGAGAAGTAGGAATGTCTCCGTGGAAGGGGGGCGGCAGGTAGGGGGAATGGAGGGGGGGGGATAGGCAGGCACAGCCCTGACCAGGGCTACGGCTGGCACTCCAGTAAAAAGTGGTTCCTTATCCTCCTCCTCCTCTTCCTCCTCCTCCTCCTCCTCCTCCTCCTCCTCCTGCTGCTCATCCTCCTCCTCATCAGCATCATCATCATCAGCATCATCAGCAGCATCAGCATCATCATCGCCAGCATCAGCATCATCATCAGCAGCATCATCATCATCACCATCATCATCCCCATCATCATCAGCATCATCACCATCATCACCATCACCAGAATCAGCATCATCATCATCATCATCATCATCATCATCAGCATCATCATCATCACCACCATCATCATCATCATCATCATCATCATCATCATCATCATCATCATCATCATCATCATCATCGTCATCGTCATCGTCATCGTCATCGTCATCGTCATCATCAGCATCAGCAGCATCATCATCAACACCATCATCGTCATCGTCAGCATCAGCATAAGGATCAACACCATCAGCAGCAGCAGCATCATCATCAGTAGCAGCATCGTCAGCATCATCATCAGCAGCATCATTAGCCTTAGCATGTGCATCATGATCAGCAGCATAACCATCATCAGCATCATCGTGCTCCTCCTGCTCCTCCGGTGTCGACCGCGGCCTCCTGCCTGACGTGGGCGGCAAGCGGCCGAGCGTGAGGCGGCGGCCGCAGCTGCTCGCCCAACCCGATGGACTCCCTCGCTCACTCGGCTCCTGCTCCTCCTGCCTGCGCCGCTTCGGTGCTGGCCTCATGCCTCCTCCTGCTCCTCCTGCCTCCTCCTGCTCCTCCTCATCGGAGGAGGAGGAGGAGGAGGAGGGAGCAGAACCGAGGATGATCAAGGAGGAGGAGGAGGAGGAAGAGGAGGAGGAGGAGGAGGAGGCGGAGGAAGAGCGAGGAGGATCGAGGAGGACCGAGTAGGACCGAGGAGGAACGAGGAGGAGGAGGAGGAGGAGGAGGAGGAGGAGGAGGAGGAGGAGGAGGAGGAGGGGGGCGGAGGAAGAGCGAGGAGGATCGAGGAGGAGGAGGAGGAGGAGGAGGAGGAGGAGGAGGAGGAGGAGGAGGAGGAGGAGGGGGAGGAGAGGAGGAGGAGGAGGAGGAGGAGGAGGAGGAGGAGGAGGAGGAGGAGGAGGAGGTGGAGGAGCAGGACCGAGGAGGCGGAAGGGGAGGCCGCCGCCCGCGCGCGTCACGCCCGCGCACGGAAGCCTCCAACGGCTTCTCGGGGGCGAGCCCACAGGGGTGGGGGGGGGGCGTCGGAGGGGGCCCGCGGCGGGCTTTCTCAGAAGGCGGCGGGGCTTCTCGGAAGCCGTCCGTGCCTTCGGAGGAGGCTCAGAGGGCCGCGCCTCTCGGAAGGCCCCGGAGGCCTTCCGAGCCTTCCGAGAAGGCCCCCCTGGGGCTCGCCGCCGAGCTGCGCACTGCCAAGAGCTGCGGGCACCCCGAGTGCAGCGTGGGTGGGCAGGGCGTGGGAAGGGAGGCCCCACACTCGGGAGTGCGCGGGGGTGGGGCCGCCGAGGGGGGAGAGAGGGAGCGAGGGAGGGAGAAAGGGAGTGAGGGGGTGAACGAGAGAGGGAGCGAGGGGCGGCTGCGGAGGAGAGCGGACGGAAGGGCAGGGCAGGGGAGGGACAACGGGGGGACCAGGTGGAGGGAGGGCAAGGTCGGGCGACGAGATCTGTACAGATCCACCGCCTCTGGCCGCGCCCATCCTGGGTCCAGGCGCGGTGCATGTGTCCTGCCACAGCCAGGAGGGCACGTGCACCGCTCCTGGGCCCAGGATGCCCCTGGCCCTTGGCATCGCTCGGACGTGTGCACTTTTTTCTCGGCGAGAACCAGTGAGGACCATCCTGAACCATCGAGCAAAAAATTATTCCAGTGCGACCCTACCTAGGAGTTGGAACCCCTAGGAAAGCAGCATTAGTAGTAACAGTAACGCTAAGCTAAAGCTAAGCCACAGCTAAGCTAAAGCTAAGCTGAAGCTGAGCTAAAGCTAAGCTAAAGCTGAGTTAAAGCTGAGCTAAAGCTAAGCTAAAGCTGAGTTAAAGCTGAGCTAAAGCTAAGCCACAGCTAAGCTAAAGCTAAGCCAAAGCTAAGCCAAAGCTAAGCTACAGCTAAGCTAAAGCTAAGCTAAACGCTACTCGAAAAGCTAAGCGAAACGCTAAGCTAAAGCTAAGCTACAGCTAAGCTAAAGCTAAGCTAAAGCTAAAGCTAAAGCTAAAGCTCCCAGGGGACTGGGGGGAAGCGCTCCCAGGGGACTGGGAGAACCGCCCGGGGCGCTTTCCACTGCCCGGCCCCTTTAAGCTAAGAGAGTAAGAACCCTTCTAGGCAGAGCCTAGGTAGGGAAAAACACGCACGAAACCGACAAATGAACGGGAAATGGACGTCCGAGCGACGGCAAGGGCCAGCGGCAGTGGACGCGTACAGGTCTCGTCGCCCCAGCGCGGGGGGCACACAGCGGGGGGCTCGGTGTGGAGGGGAGGCCACCGGTGCGCGCACCCGCGGCATGCCGACGTGCCAGCAGGGGACGGGGACAAAGGGGAGGCAGAGGGCGAACCTCTCCAGGCCTCCGTGCCCTGAGATGGCCCGCCGGTGGCCGGGGCATGCCTGGATGGCGCGGTGTGGTGTCGTGTCCCCAGACATAAACGGCCGGTTTTGGGCCGTTTTCGGCATCGGGGGACCCTCGCCAGGCCTCGGGACCGTCAAAAAACGATTCAGGACGAAAAACCGGTCCCCGGGAAAGGGTCGGAACTTCCAGGGACGCCACATTGAAAAAATCAGGACGTCTGGCGCGCAGTTGCTGCCACTGGCATTCCCGCCTGCAGCGCAGGTGCCGAGAGCTGCCCGGGTTTTGCGTCGACGCCTTTCGCCCTGCCCGCTCCTGCTGTCATTCTCTAGGGTCCTGCGCCTTTGCTTCTGCTCCTGAGGTAAGGAGATCTTCGCCCACCAGGCCACGGCGCCCCTCAACGAAGAGGGCCTGCGGGCGGCTCAGAGGGAGGCCTGCGTGCGCGTACGGGGCATAGACCAGGTCAGAGAAAAAAAGCAGATTAATAGAGACAGGAGTTGAGGAAGACGGACACACAGCTAGGGACATATACATGAACAGAAACAGGAGGTAATGAGATAGCGGCACAGAAAAAAGACAGGCAACGAGACGGAGATCAGGAGAAACAGAGAGAGAGAGAGACAAGCAGACATATAGACACAGGCTAGCAAAGAGAGCACACACAAACAGAAACATAAGGATAGAAACAGTGACGGCAATAGCGGTCTATGTATGAATTGTTTATAGTACGTGTAGACACACACCGTGCAGAGGTAAACATGTTCATGCAAGTGCATGTGCACACGAATATATGCACGCACACGTTTACACATCTGTTCATACATGTTCATCTGTATCTCCAGCTGCCTGCGGCAAGTCCCGCCACCGTGCCAGCCCAGCATCTTCGCTGGCGATGGACGGGAAGCCGCAACAAGTGGCATGCTCTTCCACGTCGCGTGGGTGATGAAAATGAATATGAAGGTGCATACGATGATGAGTAGGGTTGTGACGGATGGAGATGCAGATAATTAATGGTGAGGGTGATGGTGATGGTGATGGTGATGATGATGATGATGATGATGATGATGATGATGATGATGATGATGATGATGATGATGGTGATGGTGATGGTGATGGTGATGTTGATGGTGATGGTGATGGTGATGGTGATGGTGATGGTGATGGTGATGGTGATGGTGATGGTGATGGCGATGATGGTGATGATGGCAGTGATGGTGACGGTGAAGAGACAGTGGTGGCGATGGTAGCTTGACGTTCGAGTAAAGGGGGGGGGCTGCGCCTGTCAGCATGGTCTTTGCAGGGCGGGGACACTGCAGGCGTGCGGAAAGCCCATCGATCGGGGGGCAGAGCATCGGCATCGGGTCGGCTCCAGTCTGTGGCGCGCGCGGCGGACAAATCCTGCCCCCCCCCCCCTCGCAGCGCGTGCTCTCGTCGATAGGCCGACTATCGGCCACGCGGCCGGGGCAGGGGTTGACACAATGTCCCCCTTCCCCCCCCCGGGGGAGCGCAAGAGTTGAGCCCCCCCCCTCCCTGGACGGAGCGCTCGCCCGCCGAGGGCAGCAGCTTGCCGCTTGCCCCCTGCTCCTCCCTGTCGGAGGCCCAGCGACCACCGTGATTTGGGCGACGAAAGAAAACGGGGCCGTCTTCGCCGACGTTGGCGCGCAAGCTGCCCGCGTGAGGTCGCGCGTAAGCGCCCTCGTCTCTAATGTAGCGTGCCGCGCTGGCGGCCGGCGTAAGCCGCCGCGTGAGGTCGCTATGCCATCTCGCGCCAGACCCGTTTTGGATCGTCGCTCACATGGCAAGCGTGGCACCCTGGCACCCCAGGGAGGAGCACCCAGGAGCGTATGCATGCCCCCGCTCGCTGCCAGATCGGGGGGGGTCTCTGGCACTCTGCGGGCTCGGCTGCTCGGGCCACTCCTTTTCGAGAGCCCAGTGCTCACCGCGATGTGGCAGGCGTGGCACATGGGCCTCCTAAAAATGAGCCGCCGGGGGTGTGCATTTTCCCCGCTCGCGGCCGGATTGTGGGGATCTATCCGGCGATTCGCTGCTCGGTTGCTCTGGCCAATTGCGTTCGAGAGCCCTTTGTCCACCGCGGTATAGCGGGCGTGGCACTCGGGCACCCCAAGGAGGAGCCGCCAGGGTGGGTGCACGGGCCCATTCGTTGCAAGACCGCGATGATTTATCAAGCGGTTTGCGGCTTTGGTGGCTCAGATCCCTCTTTCTCGAGATATGGCGATATAGCAGGCGTAGCACCGGGGACCCAAAGGAAGAACCTGCATGGGTGGTTTCCTTTTGCCGTTCGCGCCCAGATTGCATGGATATCTCATGATGTTTGCCTGTGTGGTGGTTCAGGCTTTTCTTGGGATAGTCCCAGGACCACCGCGATATAGCAGCTGTGGCAGTGGAGCACTTCAAAATGGAGCCACCAGGGGTGTTTTCATTCCCCCCACCGGTCTCTCTCTCCCTGTCTTTTTTGCTGAGAGCACCATGGCCACCGCGACAAGGCAAGCGTGACACTGAGGCACCGCAATGGGGAGCCGCCAGGGGGGGAGGGGATACTTGCCCGCTCACGCCCAGAATCTGCGAATGGTGAGGGAAGTATCTAGTGTGTCGCTCGTTTGGTGTTGCCCCACCCCCTAGATGACTTCTATGCAGCAGGCATGTCACTTTGGCGGCCCAGAGAGGAAACACTAAGGGGTGTTGCACTAGCCCCTCGCACTCCGACTCTGCGGATGCCTCCAGCGGTTCGCTGGTGTGGCACCCCGACTTCTTTTTCCGTTCCGAGCCCCACGCCCACCGTGATGTAGAAGACATGGCACATGTGCACCCCAAGGGGGGGGGACCACCAGTGGGTGTTGCACCGTCCAGTTCGCGCCCAGATCGCGGGACTTCTCAGGCGAAACGCTGATATAGGTACCCCCGACCCCTCCGCCCCTCCCTTCCTCGCCGCTTCGGTCTCCTCCTCCTCCTCCTCCTCCTCCTCCTCCTCCTCCTCCTCATCATCATCATCATCATCCCCCTTTTGCTTCCGTCTCCATTTTGGCTCAAGGTCCGTAGCATCGGCTCAGGGACCTTGACATTGTGGCGTGAGTGGTTTGCGATCCTCGCCCGCTTTCGCTCTGAGAGGTTCACTCTTCACTTCCATTTGTTTCTCGCTATCCTTCCCTGTGCGCTCCTGAGGGAGCGGATGGCACAACCCTCTCGCCCTGCTAATTGCCGTGCAGCCAGACGTCGGTCGGGAACGCAGCAGTGGTATTGCGAGTGGTGCGTCAGCCCCAGGGATGGCGCACGATGGTGGAATCACGCGGACATGCCTTCCTGCAGCATTTGTGGGGCAAGCAAGGGCACGGCGCTCGCGGGCCCAAGAGTTTTACCAGGTGGAATTCCGTCGCTCCGAGCCCCCAAGTCGTTGAGGAGAGGAGGCTGCAGGCGGACAAGAATAAGCTCGAGCAACAACTGAAGGCGCTCGCGGCAAAGGACAAGAAGATCGAGAGGCCACGGGCCCTTGCGGGAGTCGGGTCGGGCGGTGCTGCTTCGCAGGCACAAGCCCCGCAGACCGACGCCTCTGGTTCAGACACAGACAAGGCCAGGCTCAGTGAGATCGGCGCAGGCATCAGAGCAATTGGGGTTTCGAAGGACCCGGTGCTCATCAAGTGCAAGACGGATATAGCTGCGGAGTACGATTCTCTCAAGGAGCGGATCATGCGCGAGGAGCCCGTGGCCGTCTAGTGCCACCAGTTGGTCAACAGATGCCAGCCAGGCCTTGGAGAAGAAGCGCGATCGTCCGGCCGAGAATGTCAAGGCGATCGAGCACAAGGTTTGCGAACTCCAGAAGCAGCCCGGCGAAGCGAGGGACGCCCTCGCGGCCACGGCACGCGAGCTCGCGGAGGCAGAGGAGCAGCGGCGCACCGCGGCTATTGCAGCCCCTCGGCCCGGAGGGTCTGATGGCCCACCGTCGCTGCGTTCAGCCATCTCGGGCATTGACACGCCAATCGACGAGGTTGGCAAGATGCTCGAGAGCTTCGGAGCGGAGCAGGGCATGCGGAACGACGTCGTCGGCATGTTCGAGCGCTTCCGCGCCCTCGACAAGGCGGCTGCGGAGCGCCGTGCTCGCGAGGCGAGCGGCGGAGGCGCCGCTGCTCCTGGCGGTGTTGGTGGCGAAGCTCGCGTTGATGGGCGCGCTCGTGCTGCCGAGGGTGGCCGCGTGCCCATGGACACGGGTGACCTGCCAGACTTGCCGGCCATCTACAGGGAGGCCTTCGGAGCGGACCCTCCTGAGGACGAGGCCCAGCTCAGGACCGCCATCAAGCGGCTCGGCGAGGCGGTCGGCGCTCGGACCAAGAAGCAGAGGCAGGAATAAGGCCGTCCCCCTGGGCCTCGCGGCGTTCGCGCTTCAGCGGTCTGGGGGCGTGGCCGCCACTTAGGTTGATGAAGGCGCGAAGAGGCTGATCGCCCGCGCCCTTGTCCCCCAGTACTACCCAGGCTCGGACCGCAGGTTTGGCGAGGCCAATGTTTATGAAGGCCCCGACGGTTCAATTCGTTACGTGGTTGAAACAAACAGTGAGGCGGTGAACCGCGGGAGCTATTCCTCGTCAAAAGTTAAGTCAGTTCTGTATTGCTCTATATGCACGGTCAACACTTCCTCGCATGGCCCCTTGATCAAGTTGCTGAGCGTGCCAGATTACAGTCGCGGAGTTGCGCTGGTCCAAGAGCACCATTGCGACGCCTCCAGGCTCGCGGGCATCCAGCACAGGTGCAAGAATGTCAACATGCGCGGCATCTGGGCCCCGTCGGTTTCCACGGGCCGCGGCGGCTCAGCTGGGGAGGGCAGCGTCGGCGCCCTCGCACGCGCTGGTGTCCAAGCCCCCCATGCTCAAGGACCCGATGTTGTTCCCTGGGCGCGCGGCGGCAGCTAAGGCCCATTTGGCCTTGTCGGGCGGTGTCGCCTGCATCTCTGCATATCTTGTCGCGGGGGTCGGACTCGCCGGCGACAGTACCAAGCTGCTGGCGGCCATCGCGAAGCATATTGCGAAGCTGAACGCGATTGGGCAGGCGTGGGTCATAGGCGCGGACTGGAGCGTAGACCCTGCGCGCGGCATCGACTGGCTCCTCGGGCTGAAAGGAATCCGCATAGCAGCGTCGAGCCGACGCGTGTCCAAGCCACGCCTGGAACCCATCGCGATTGGTTTCACGCGTCAGAAGGCGCATCCCGGCACATGGGCCCCCCGACGGTGGACGATGCAGTTGACACCGTTCCGCATTTACCTGTTCTCACTGATGTGTCGGGAAAGGTCCGCTCCATGTGCTGCCGAGTTCCTGTGGAACCGAAGTCTCTGCCCATCGCGCCGCCCGTCGGCTGCCCTGCGTTTCCGCCGGCACGTGAATAGCAGCAGGTGCAGCGGAGGCTCTTCGAGGCTGAGTCGGCCGACAGCCTGGCAGAGCGCTGGGACGAGGTGCCGACAGGCCTCGAGGCCGAGCTACTCGGCGGACATGGGACACGCGAAGGTGCCGCTAGACAGCGCCATCACGGCCATGAAGGTCCTCAGCAGTATAAGCGGCAGCAACCGAAGGCAGCAGTACCTAATCAGCCGAAGTCGTCGACGGCATGGAGGTCGTTCAATGGATGGCCTCGGCATCCTCGGAATGCGCGCGAAGCTCAAGTCGTGCATGGACCAGCTCAATGTCGTGATCGCGAGCTCGCCTGAGGCAGAGTCCACCCCGATGTGCTTGAGCAAATTGACGCATGACTTGTTCGGCTTCTTTAAGAGAGTTCGACGTGGCAGGTGGATCCGCGACTTTCTTCCGAATGAGGCGGGCGATTTCTTGGAGGGCCCCATTGCTAGCTTCTGCCGCGAGGATTTCGATGATGAGGTGCAGCGGCCCATCGACATGGTCGGGGCGAACATCGCCGGGGGCCTGGAGGAGTCTGCGCCAGGGTGGGTCAGGCGGGCCCTGGAGGCGTTCGTGAAGGGAGCTGGGAAGGCACATCGTTATTCCAGGATTCGTGAGTTGCAGGAGGTAGCCGATAATGGGGACGACAGGTGCCAACCCTTTGAGAGCAGATGATCGTTTAGATGAGTGGCAGACCATATGGAATATACACGGGCGCGCTGAAGTTGCATTGCCAGACGATGTTGGCGAGTGGCCATTGCTCGAGCCAGTTACGGCCCAGCAGACCAGAGGAGTTCCCCGCAGTTTCTCGTCGACGGCGCTGGGCCAGGCCAAGATGCATCCACGTTCGCCGGGCGCGTGCTCCGACGCGGCCCTGGAGACGCTCGCGCTGCTGCACGCCACCTGCGAGCGCCTCCTCTGCTGGCCTCATGACAGAGCGCTGTCTCGGCTGGTCCGGCTGGGCAAGGCCTCTGGAGGCAACCGATTCATAGCGCTTTTGATTACTCTTGTTAGGATTTGGGACCGCCTGAGGCGGCCGATCTCACAAGATTGGGAGGCTCGGGACCGACCCCCCGCATGTGGGGGGAATGGGCCCGCCAGGAGCTCGTCCGACGCCGCCTCTGCTCATAATGTGGATGCGGAGGTTGCGGGCGCGGTGGGTGAGTTCTCTGCCTCGGTGCTCCTCCACGTGTATAAGTGTTACGAGTGCATCATAGCACCCAAGCTTTTAGGAGAAGCCCGAGCCCTCCACTATCCCTTGCGCATGCTTTGGATGGTCCTGTGTCCCTACTGTTGCCTTGGGTCGTCCAGGCGTTCGGGTCTCTGAGCTCGGCTGCGGTAGCAAACCAATGGGTACTGGAAGGGTGCAGCCACGCCAACTATGATGCACCTCCTCTCGCATCGCGTCGCGGCGAAGTGCCGCTCGCTTTTTCAAACTCATCGCCCCTGTGATACGCATGGATGATGCTAGCTTCCAGTGGGTAGGTAGTGCTTTGCAGCTGTCAGGGCCATCGATGGCCGCGGTCCAATGGTTCTTCCGCAAAGCTTTCAGCTTGGGGCTAATTCTGCAGGTTGCCAAAAGCGGTTTTGTTGCCCCCACGGTCCGCGCCGCGGCCAAGATCGGCTCGACGGTAGAAGATATGCGTTTGAAGAGCCATGGGCACATGCGGAATTAGGGGCATGAGTTCTTTTTTTCCGGGCCGCCCACTGCGCATACAGGAGCGCAGTAGGCTGAAGGGGGAGTTGTCACGAAAGAGCAAGTTGCTCGCGCTGAAGCGTGGAGCCGCTGGCAAGGTCGGCACCTTGAGGCGCACTGGCGCGCGCGGCGCGGGAGTGTCTGGAGTCGCCGACAGCACCCTCATGGCCCTTCGCACGCTGGCAGGCTCGCTCGTAGGAGCTAAGCGGTCAGGCTCTCTCACGGCTTGGCTGATGACCAAGCGCGATCAGTATTTCGATCATGTTTATGATGCCTGCGCCCCTTTGCTCCAGAGGTATTGCGCCATGATCTGGGACGCTAAGATCTGTTCGGGCAGGCCCCAGCGAGCCTGGCTCGTGATATCGGACCGCGCCCAGGCCGCCCAGCCCTGGAAGGTGCGTAAAGGGCGCGCCCCAACCGTTTTGCTGAGCTTGCGACGCGTAGGCTGGAGTATGAGTTCAGCACATCCAACTGTCAGCGACGAATGCCAGGTGCACAACCTGTCGCGCGAATGTCCTCGCGATGTTTGCGCTGCCTTGCGCCCAGGCACTGCCCGCTGGCAAGCTAAAAAATGCTTCAGCACGTCCCCGCGGCGACTGGCTCCGAGGAAGTTTGGGCGAGGGGTCTTCGTCGCGGTACGTTGAAAATCTCGGGTCAGAAACGCAGGGGGGCTGCTTGGCGCGTCCTGGGGTCCGCGACGCGGCCTCCCGCCCGTCGCAAAGCGGCTGGGTTTTGCGCGTCGTCCGACTGCCAGTCTTGTGGCAAGAAGGATGTCAGGGACCTTGGTCCACCTGCTTTACGATTGTTCACTTGTTCTGGATTGCCCTCGTAAGAATAACGCTTTTTACCCCGAGGGCGTCGCGGGATGGAGGGGTCTGCCCCGTGCCAAAGAGGGGGGGGGGGGGGGCTGGGCTCGGCGAGGCCGATTGGGGCGCGCTCGAGCTGGACTATTGTTTCCTGTTTCGAAGGGCGAAGGCCCCCCCAGTCCCCCCGGAGCTCCCCGCCCATTCCTGGGGGCTCGCCTCAGGGCCCTGGAGGCGGCGGATCTAGACCGACGGCTCTGGACTGGCGAGCTCCAGTCCCGAACTTAGACGGTGTGGATATGCCGCGGTCGAGATGGGCCTCGGGGGGGCTTCCAGCTCGGGCCCTGCACGGGGCCCTCCCTGGCTCGCGCCAGTCGGCGCCGGCGCCTCTGGCTGAGCGGAAGATCCCCAGACGCCCAGGTTGTCTCCGACCACTTAGGCGCCGCGCAGGACGGGGTCGAGCGACCCCCTGCAAGACTGGGGCCCGAGAGCCATGCTGTAGCCACCACTGTAGTGGATGCTCAGAAGCAGCATCTAGCAGACATCAAGAGGGATTCCGGCTTCCTAAGTCGCTTCGCCCAATCGATTGCGATGTTTTCGTCGGGCCTCCCGCACCCTGTCGTCCCACCTGGGGACCGCCAACATTTGGCCCGTCCGATGCTGCTTCAGCACGAACTCTTCCAGTTTCCTGCGCTCGGGGAGTGGAGGTGTAGACAGTGAAAATTGTGGACGCGCACACATGACTCCCTGTTGCACCTGAGGTCAGGCAATCGTCGAGCGTGCGAGCCCACTGCGGTGCAGAGATTTCTGGCCTCCGAGTTCCTCCTGGTCCACGGGGCCAATGGAGCGCGAGTCAGATCTGAGGCGGTGCAGGAAGCAATGTCGTTGGCTAGCGAGGTCCTGGGGCCCACACCTGAGCCTGCACCACTTCGGTCCGAGGCTTTCAGGCACGGGGGAGCTAGGCCATGCCGTTGAGCGCGAGGGCCGCGTGCTTTGTTGCTACCTGTGCAGTGCTCACTTGATTTTGCCTGATGGTGTAGAGCGTAGATTTGGCTTCCGATGCAACGGGCGCAGTGTCAATGCCAGCACCCGTGCGAACCAGACCTTGAAGATAAAGTATGCTTCGCGAGGTCTGCACCCCAGGATTGCCAGGCCCCTGGAATCCCTCAGAGCCTCCCAGCCGTTCCCGTCGCCCCTGCTGCCGAGGCTGAGGCAGCAGCTCCGTCATGCCAGTTGGCCCCCGCTTGTGCCGCCGCCGCGCTCCGAATGGACGAGGCGGCCCTCTCTGGGCGGGAGCGGGGCGGTGCCCTGGGGGCGGAGTCGGGGTCGGATTGATTCTTGACACAGGCTAAGCCAGCTTGGCCTTTTGGCCCGTGGTGTTGCAACTCGTTCTGCTTTCAGCCGTTTGTGGGAGGGGGCACGCAAAGCCGCACGGTAGCCTGACAAAATATTGATTGGCCCCCCTCCAATCGGTCTCCTCCCGCCGAGTGCTGGAGATGTGCCCGTCCTGGCTGGTAGCCTGGGCCGTGCACTCCATCTCTTTCGGCCTGCCCGCTCGTCCTCGACTTGCGCGCGCCGGCCTCGAGTCATCTCCTCCTCCCCCTCCTCCTCCTCCTCCTCCTCCTCCTCCTCCTCCTCCTCCTCCTCCTCCTCCTCCTCCTCCTCCTCCTCCTCCTCCTCCTCCTCCTCCTCCTCCTCCTCCTCCTCCTCCTCCTCCTCCTCCTCCTCCTCCTCTTCCTTCCACAGTCGCAAGACCATCTCGATGTAGCAGGCGCAGTTCTTGGGCACTCCAGTGGGGGAGCCGCCAGGGAGCGCTCAGTCGTCACAGGCTTAAGATTCTTGCATTCACACACTCACAGGCGGAAGTGCCGGAAACCATGCTTTACCAGGGAGCATTGCCTCGAGACGGTCCCCTTGCTTTTTTCAAGGGGTCGTGGCCTCGGGAGCGCGGATTTGTTGATGTTTTTGGGGTGGAGCGATCGTTGCCTCCGGAGCGCATCCCCATCGTGTGCTACAAAGGGGCGCTGATGCATGGGGAAATCTGCCAGGAATGGCGAGGGGGCTGTAATGCGTACAGAAACAGACACAAGCATGATCCTGGCGAAGGACCCAAGCAAATACACTCGTGACTGCCGCGTTATGGGTACCGCTTTCGATGGAGCTCCATATTGGGCCACGAGGCGTGTGAGGGGTCTGCCGAAATTGACGCGGGGACGCATGCGGGCCTTACCACTGGAGCCTTCGTTGGAGCTCCTGGTGGGGCCTCGAAACGTGTGAGCGGCATGCCGAACTAGATGGAGAACCGCATGCGAAACCCCCCTCCTGGGGGCTTCGGTGGAGCTCCCTGTGGGGCCACGAATCGTGTGAGTGGTGTACGCAAATGGGCGGAGAACTACATGCGAAACCCCCTTCCTGAGTCTTCGGTGGAGCTGCCCGTAGAGCCACGGAGCGTGTGAGGTGTGCCGAAGTCGATGGAGAACCGATTGCGAACACCCCCTGCTGGTGGCTTCGGTTGATACCCTTGGGGGGGTACGAAACGTGCGAGGGGTGTACCGAAATTGGTAGAGAACCGCATGCGAAACCCCCGTCCTGAGAGCTTCGGTGGAGCTGCTTGTGGGGCCACGAATCGTGTGAGGGGTGTACCCATATGAGCGGAGAACCAACCGCATGCGGAACCCTCCTCCTGGGGGCGTCGGTGGAGCTGCCTTGGGGACCACGAAACGTATAAGCGATGTCCCGAAATGGCTGCAGAATCGGACGCGAGCCCCCCTCCAGGGGCCTTCGGTGGAGTTCTCCATGGTGCCACGAAACGTGTGAGTGGTGTGCCTAAACGTACACGAAGAGGGCAGAGGCAGGGATGGGAAGGACGGAGGAGAAAGGGTGAGAGTAGAGGAGGACATTGGGCCCTTTCTTTTCAAAACAAGGGCCCAACACCACAGGATGGCTGCGGCCAACACACAGCCAACAAAACTATTTTCCGGCAGCACTTGGCAGTCTACCGCGCCTCAACGTGCCAGGGGGCACGGTGTCGGAGATAGTCGTAGGTGTGCTCATCTAGTTACAGATAAGGCTGTTACGAGATAACAAGACACACAGGGAGAGGAGCAGAGAGCGAAAGAGAGACCTCACAGACAGCACGCGGCGTTGCACCGAGGTGCATGGTGGCGAAGTTCCGGAATTCGTGGCGCATGGCCTTTTGGGTCGACCGTCTGGTACGGGAGCACGGCGGTGAGGCGCTATCGGGACAAATGGCCTTCATGGTTTGATGATTGTTTTATTGTTCGGCACCTCTCCCCCTATCTCGTCCCATCCATCCCCCCGTCCACCTGTTCATTCATCCGACCGTCCGCCCGTCGGATCAATGTTGCTCTTTTTGTTTGTTTCTCTCTCTCGCTCTTTCTCTGTTTCTCTCTCTCTCTCTCTCGATCTATATATATGTGTGTATCTCTATCTGCATGTCTTGACATGTTATACACATGTATACACATGTATATGCAGGCGTCGTCTCCGCTCTCACCACCCCGCCTGCTGCCTTCAGAGGACACCTAGATGCAGCTGCTGTTGCGCGATATGCAGCACAGTGTGAGACCCGATGGTTACGATTCTATCGCTTGCTCCCTCTCCTTCGCCCCCCCCACTCACTCTCACTGTAGATTTCCCTCCCCTTGTGTTTGTGTATATGTGATTGCTTCTCTCTCTTTCTTTGTGTTCTCTCTTTGTATACATACAGATATGTATATATACACATATACAGCTATGTGTGTGTTTCTATGTCGTGTCTCTCTTTCTTTCTCTCTCTGTCTCTTTTTCTATCTCTCTATCCGTATGTATATATGATACCGGAGACCAAAACCTAGTCAAAGTCTTTTTAGGGTTATTGGGCTATGGGGCTCTAGGGCTATGGAACTATAGGGCTATAGGGCCTGTAGGGCTATAGGTCTATAATGGGGCTATAGGGCCATAGGGCTGTAGGGCTATGGGGCTATGGGGGCTATAGAGCTAAATGGCCATAGGGCTATGAGTCTATAGGGCTATAGGGCTATAGGACCGTAGGGCTATAGGGCTATAGGTGTGTATATATATATAGAGAGAGAGAGAGAGCTATAGGGCTGCATGGCTATAGGGCTGTAGGGCTATAGGGCTATAAGACGATGAGGCTGTAGGGATATAGGGCTATAGGGCTATTAGGCTATTAGGCTATTGGGCTAGAGGAGGGCTAGAGGGCTATTGGGCACTAGGGCGACAGGGCTATAAGGCTATAGGGCTATTGGGCTACAGGGCTATAGGGCTGTTGGGCTTTGGGGCTATAGGGATATAGGGCTATAAGGATCCCGGGCACCTGGGCACCCGAGCACCCGGGCACCGGGGCATCCAGGCGGGCCGCGGAAATCGGTGACACAACTCACCTAAACATATGAATTTGCGAGGACCCCTACAGAGGCAAGCTCTGATTGGGGAATATATATATATATATAATACCAGAGAAAAACCCAATCAGGGGTATAGGGCTAGGGGGTTATAGGGCTATAGGGCTCTTGAGCTATAGGCCTATAGAGCTATAGGGCTATAGAGTTGTAGGGCTATAGGGCTATTGGGCTATAGGGCACCCCCGGGCACCCCCAGGCACCCCCGGGCACGCCCGGGCACCCGCCGGGCACCCAGGCACCAGGGCACCCACCCGGGCACCCGGGCGTGCCGCAAAAATCAGCGGCAAACCTAACCTAACCTTATGAATATTGAGCTATAGGGCTATAGAGCTATAGGTCTATAGAGTTGTAGGGCTATTGGGCTATAGGGCTATAGGGCACCCCCGGGCACCCCCAGGCACCCCCGGGCACGCCCGGGCACCCCGGCACCAGGGCACCCGGGCACCAGGGCACCCCCAGGCACGCCCGGGCACCCGCGGGCACCCCCAGGCCCCCGGGCACCCCCGGGCACCCCCGGGCCCCCGGGCACCCCCGGGCACCCGGGCACCCGGGCGTGCCGCAAAAATCGGCGGCAAACCTAACCTAACCATATGAATCCGCTAGGACCCCTACAGAGGCAAGCTCTGATTGGGGAATATTGAACTTGGGGCTACAGAGCTATAGGTCTATAGAGTTGTAGGGCTATTGGGCTATGGGCTATAGAACTATAGGGCACCCCTGGGCACCCCCAGGCACCCCCGGGCACGCCCGGGCACCCGGGCACCAGGGCACCTGCAGGCACGCCCGGGCACCCGCGGGCACCCGGGCACCCGGGCACCCCCGGGCACCCCCGGGCACCTGGGCACCCCCGGGCACCCGGGCACCCGGGCGTGCCGCGAAAATCGGCGGCAAACATAACCTAACCATATGAATCCGCTAGGACCCTTACAGAGGCAAGCTCTGATTGGGGAATATTGAGCTACAGGGCTATAGAGCTATAGGTCTATAGAGTTGTAGGGCTATAAGGCTATTGGGCTATAGGGCACCCCCGGGCACCCCCAGGCACCCGCCGCGAAAATCGGCGACAAACCGAACCTAATCATATGAATCCGCTAGGACCCCTACAGAGGCAAGCTCTGATTGGGGAATGAATCCGCTAGGACCCCTACAGAGGCAAGCTCTGATTGGGGAATATTAAGCTATAGGGCTATAGAGCCATAGGTCTATAGAGTTGTAGGGCTATAGGGCTATTGGGCTATAGGGCTATAGGGCACCCCCGGGCACCCCCAGGCACCCCCGGGCACGCCCGAGCACCTGCACCAGGGCACCCGGGCAGCAGGGCACCCCCAGGCACGCCCGGGCACCCGCGGGCTCCCAGGCACCCCCGGGCCCCCGGGCACCCCCGGGCACCCGGGCACCCGGGCGTGCCGCGAAAATCGGCGACAAGCCTAACCTAACCATATGAATCCGCTAGGACCCCTACAGAAGCAAGCTCTGATTGGGTAATATATTGATATGTATCGCTCTCTTTCTCTCTTTCTCTCTCTCTCTCTCTCTCTCTCTCTCGCTCCCGTTGTTTTTGTTCTCTCTCTCTCTCTCTCTCTTTCTCTGTCGATTTTGTATTGAATATAGAGATGTATTTCTATATATACACATTGATACACTTTCATGTGTAAAGTCGCTGTGGCCACCGTGAAGCAAACAGCAGGTGGCCCCCATCCAGGTCCGAGGCACAGGACCAGGTCTACCCTCATCCCTTTTCTCGGCGTCGCTCCGAGGAGGAAAATGTGAGGGGGCGGTTGGGTTTCAGAAGCCCATTGGCCTTCTGAGAAATCTCCCTCTGCGGCTTCGGATCAGGCTGAGAGGCCTGCCGAGCTTTCTGAGAAGGCCCGACTCCTCTGCCTTCCCCCCTGGGCGTGCCGCCGACTAACTCTTGCCTCATCCCCTGACCCCCTCCCTGGTCCTCCTCCCCAAAACTCACACTCCGAGTTCACGTCACAAGCAGTGGTTGAGTGCGCAATGCGCCCCGTAGATCCACGCACGCCGCTCCGCTGTTCATAGCCCCGAAGATCAAGTCTCACTGGACTCCTAGTTCGATGTCGTTCGATATTATCAGAGTGAGGGTGCGAACAGTTTCACATCGTTCCTGGGTGCGTGGCAAAAGTGGGATCATGTTGTGTGGATGTTCCTTGGTGCAGTTATTCCCAAAGCAGTGCTTACACTTCGGTGCCTTCATTTCTGTTATAGCGAATTGGGCTGGTGTGGCGGTCTGGCAGCTATGCTGTCGCCGTCGCCGACCCGTCGTCTCCTCGTCGCCGCCCGTCGACCGGAGTGGCGGTCTGGCGGCTATGTTGTCGCCGTCGCCACCCCGTCGCCGCCTTGTCGCCGCCCGTCGTCTGGGTTGGTGTGGCGGTCTGGCGGCTATGTTGTTGCAGTCACTGCCCCGTCGCCTCCTCGTCGCCGCCCGTCGTTTGGGCTGGTGTGGCGGTCTGGCGGCAATGTTGTCGCCGTCGCCGCCCCGTCGCCACCTCGTCGCCGCCCGTCGTCTGGGCTGGTGCTGCGATCTGGCGGCTATGTTGTCGCCGTCGCCGCCCCGTCCGCCTCGTCGCCGCCCCCATCGTTTGGGCTGGTGTGGCGGTCTGGCGACTATGCTGTCGCCGTCGCCGCCCCGTCGCATCCTCGTCGCCGCCCGTCGTCTGGGCCAGTGTGGCGGTCTGGCGGCTATGTTGTCGCCGTCGCCGCCCCGTCGCCACCTCGTCGCCGCCCGTCGTCTCGGCTGGTGTTGCGATCTGGCGGTTTTGTAATCGCCGTCGCCGCCCCGTCCGCCTCGTCGCCTCCCCCGTCGTTTGGCCGGGTGTTGCGGTCTGGCGGCTGTGTTGTCGCCGTGGCCGCCCCGTCGCCATCCCACATAGACTGCTTGCACAACATCGATTGCGTACCGCGCGTAAATTTTGCTGTCTTAAATAAAGGAAAGTAGACTCTACCCCCCCCCCGGATTATCAGTCCACTTTTTCCGATTGCAATGTGTTTCTGATTCTGCCCCGTCGTCCATCCTAGACATGAATTCGTACCATCCCAGCCCAACTGGTATCGACCCCCCCCGTATCCTCTGCAACAAACCACTATGCGCGCACATTCGTTTATCAAAAATCAAGAGATGGCAAGAATCCCTTGCCAAAAAATGAGACGAGGTGCACACGCGCGCGTCGTCGCGCGAGCATGCCAAAATCCTTCACAAACCTTAGGTTTCGTAAGGATTTCAAAATCGAGTGTCCAGAAAGCATAAAAACACATGGTTTCGCAACACGGATTTCCCAAAAAAGTTTGCGCGCTCTTGCGAATTCGTAAGAAAACCATAGGTGTTTCAACAGTTTCATAACATGCTACCAAGCGGGTTTCGCGCGCGCATGTCGAAATCGTTCGAACGCCCTTGCGCGCGTGCTGGGGTGGCACGATCCGTGTCAATTAATACCATGCGGGCCGTTCTCGCGCGTCTGCCGCGCGCGCATTTCGAACTCCTTCGAAAACCTTCATCACTGACGGGAAAGCGCCCTCATCCTCGCTGGCGTGATCAGCATCGTCACCGGCATCGTTGCTATCATCATCGTGTCTACCGTCGTCGACGTTGCCATGATACCGCGCCCGCCCAACTCGCCGACTCGCACTGAAGTGCCCACTGGGATGTACCAAGCGGGCAGCGCCACCGCGTTCGCGTCGGTCGCGCCCCACTAGCCGGCCGCTGTGCGCGCGAGCACGCATGGGCCGCAACCGCTTCCGCATGGGTTTCGCACATCAAGTTGCGGGTGGGTGGGTGGGATGATTGCGCG